ATTTTTCTTGAGACCGTCTGAGATGATTTTATTAAAGGCTTCTACTTGGTCGTTTGCTTGTGGACGACCGACTGATGCAAAGTAATACGAAATACCTTGGTCACCCAACCAGTTTTTGAGAACAGGCGTCTCAAATTGGGGACCATTATCAAAAACCATAGACATGGGAACCCCAAACCGAGTGATGATATTTTTCCAGATGAATGAAATTACATCCTTCGTCTTGATTCCCTTAACAGCCTCCGCCTCCACCCATTTAGTGAAGTAGTCGACTGCAAAAAGTATGTACTTCCTACCGCCTGTAGCAGGCGTATAGGGACCCAGAATATCCATGCCCCACTTAGCAAACGGTAGTGGGCTATGAATGGTAGTGAGGTCGGTAGCCGGACGGTGAATAAGCTTGCCAAACTTTTGACACTTGTCACATTTTTTCACCATCTCCATTGCATCTGCTTCTAAAGTAGGCCAAAAGTAGCCCTGCCGCCATGTCCGTTGGGCAAGCGACCTGCCGCCTACATGGGAAGCGCAGTAACCAGAGTGAAGATCTTCTAGGATTTCTCGTCCTTTTTCTAGTGTAACACACTTTAAGAAGGGTTGAAGATACCCTCTTTTGTGAAGTTCTCCCTTTATCATTTCAAAACTGGCTGCTCGCTTTTTCAGTGCAGCCGCTTGGTAATGATCATCCGGCAAGGTGCCGTGTGTCAAATATGCCCTGATTGGATCCATCCAGGTTGAACTTCTGTCTAAGATTCCAATAGGGTCTTCCTCGATGCTTCTTTTCTCCATCACCTCCCAGAAAACAGTTCGTGGAGTATCACAAGAGGTCGAGGATGCTAACTTTGAAAGAGCATCTACCTGATTGTTTTCAGACCTTGGTACTTGAATCAAATGAAAATCTTCAAGGGATCCGACTGCTTGTCGTACCGCCTGTAAGTAATTGATCATTGCCGGATGAGTCGCTTCGTATTCACCATTGTACTAACTCACTATCAATTGTGAATCAGAACAGGTGTCTGTCTTTCTTGCCCCAGCCGCCTTGCACATGCGGATTCCGGCTAGTAAAGCTTCGTATTCTGCCTCATTGTTTGAGGCCTGAAAGTTGAAACGTAGAGCATACTCGTACCTGTCGCCTTCTGGCGACTGGCATATGACGCCTGCTCCACAACCATCTGAAGTAGAGCTTCCGTCCACATATACCTTCCAGACTTGGTCTGGGACTTGAGAATCAGGGGGACGAGTCATCTCAACAATAAAATCAGCAAAGGCTTGCCCCTTCACTACTTTTTTAGGCTCGAATGTGACTTCGAGGCTCTGAATTTCTATGGCCCATTTGATCATCCGGCCTGACGACTCCATGGTGGTCAGTGGCCGCTTGATAGGTTGATCTGTATACACAACGACTGCATGTGCCAAAAAGTAGGGCTTCAATTTTTTGATGGCCATGAAGAGTGCGAGGCCGAACTTATCCATTAAGGGATACCTCAACTCGGCATTTTTCAGAACATGGCTGACAAAGTAAACCAGGAGCTGGCAGCCGTCTCTTTCAGCGAGAAGAACAGCGCTTACAGCATGATCAGAGACGGCTAGGTACATGTAAAGTACTTCTTTGGGCAAAGGACTGACTAGCCTTGGCAAGGAATGCAAATGAACCTTCAATTTTTGGAAGGCCGCCTCAGCATCTGGCCCCCATTCAAACCTTGCCTTTTTCTTAATGGCCTGGAAAAAGTATAGGCACTTGTCGCCTGATCGGCTTAGAAATCTTCCCAAAGCCGCCAAACAACCTGTTAGCTTCTGAACTTCTCGGACGGTGCGAGGCGACTGCATGTCGATGACCGCCTGCACTTTCTCAGGGTTCGCCTCTATTCCTCTCTGATTGATGAGGAATCCGAGAAATTTCCTAGACTCAACCCCAAATACACATTTCTTGGGATTGAGCATGACATGGTGCCGCCTGAGTGTGGCAAAAGTTTCTCGGAGGTCCGACAGATGATCTATCTAAAGCTTAGACTTAACAATCATATCATCAATGTATGCCTCGACGTTCCTCCCAATCTGATCAAAGAACACAGTATTTATCATTCGCTGGAAGGTGGCCGGGGCATTCTTCAGACCAAACGGCATGACCGTGTAATAGTATAACCCTTGATCAGTGACGAAGGCCGTCTTCTTCTGATCTTTCTTCCATAAAGGATTTTGATGGAAACTAGAGTAGGCGTCCATAAAGCTCATCAAAGCATGGCCGGCTGTTGAGTCGACCAGATTATCAATCTTAGGCAGAGGGTAACTGTCTTTGGGACACGCCTTGTTTAGATCCGTGTAGTCCACACACATTCGCCAGGTACCATTCGGCTTTTTAATAAGAACTACATTTGCAACCCAGTCTGGAAAATAGCATTGCCGAATGAACCCTGCATCAAGTAATTTCTAAACTTCGGCGGCTGCCGCCTGACTTCTTTCTTCGCCATGGTTCCGCTTCTTCTGCCTTACCGGCTTCTTTTTCGGATCCACGGCCAGTTTATGTACCGCCAGGTCAGGACTAATGCCTGGAATTTCATGGAGTTCGAATGCAAAGATGTCTTTGTATTCTTTCAAAATTTGATGAAAGTCATCACCCAGAATTCTCAGAGCAGTCGTCCCAACCTTTACTGTTCGGTCAGGGCGCGAGTCGTCTAGGATCAGGTACGTATGCTCACAAGCCGGCTGAGGGCGGAATTCATCTGACCGCTCCTCTAACAATGATTGCTATTTCTTCTCTTTTCTTGCGGCCCCCATCTGGGCAGCCTTTCTTTTCCTGCCGCCTGCTTCTTGAACAGGCGCACCCTCCTTGACATTGTCAAGGTCTGTTTTTCCACCACTTGACCCAGCGGCCATGACAGTGGGCTTGATATCCGAGAGATAGCACTCTCAGGCCATCTTCTGATCTCCCCTTAGGGAGCCGACTGTTCCGTCATCCCTCTCAAATTTGAGCAACATAAGAGACGGGATAATAATAGCCTTTGAATTATTTAGGGTTGGTCGTCCCAGAATCATGTTGTAGGCCGAGAGTTCTTCAACTACCAAGAACCGGACCACCATGTGACGACCTTCCCCTTTTTCGCCAAGGCGGACAGGTAAATCCACTCGTCCTATCGGGTGGACGACTCCACCTCCAAACCCTACTAGAGGGTGGGATACCGGGTGTATGCAATCAGTCTGGTATTTGAGCTTTAACAAACATTTGCTACTGATAAGATCTGAGGAACTGCCGGTATCTATGAGGATTCGGCCAACTCTCTGGTTGGCCACTTTACATTCAATGACAATGGGGTCGTCATGCGGCCCCCTTAACCCTCCTAAATCTTCTTCAGTGATGACAATTTCAGGAAATGAATATTTGGAGGATCGTTCTTGGTGAACGGAATTGACATCTAACCGGCTGATATTGTCCTTGTTGCCCCTGATACTGGGCCGCCTCCTGAGAAGCCGCCTGCAATGGTGTAGACGACTGCAATGGTCGTGGGTTCGATCCCCACAGACGGCGCCAAAATGTTTCGGGGTTTTCTGATGTCCTGCGGGAGAGTTACAATTCCGAGACTGGAACCGGACGCCTGTACCTGAAAAACAAACGGATACTATGGATGACTGGAGATCCGCCTCCAAAGGTCAAGTTAATACTTGTTTAAGGAGTAATTAATGCGGAATATTGTAATTGAGTCTCTCTAGGTGAGAGTGTTTAATGTGCTTAACCCCCCTTAATGAGGATTAATGAGCATATTTATATGCCTTGGGATGCGTGCCAATACCTAGGTTTAGGTTTAACCTAGGGCTGACTGGGCTTCCCACAAAGATTGGGCCTTGTTGGCCGGTTTTCCCATGTGTCATGGGAAGGACACGTGTCGCGTCGCAGTTGGTCCATGGTGGACGAATATATGATTGACACGTGGCAGGTTCCTATTGGCCCATGTGGCGGACACATGGCGGAACCTGACTGGTCCGCTTGTCAGATGGCGATTGGTGGATAAAAATCCCCTAATCACCACCCTCAATGCATTACTAGCCAACTTTTGGAGACATTAGTGGATATGTGAGTTTTTGATGTCATTTTTTTTATTTTTTTTTCAATTTATAATTTCTGGTATTATTAAATTGACTGATTGTTGACTAATGCAGGCATTTGATATGCTTGATATACATGGCACTAGAAGTCTTGAGCATATCATATCCCACCATACCGTGCAGATGGATGAAATTCAGCTGTGAGTAGCTTACAGTGACATGGTCATGGCCATCTTATCCAACGGCGGGACCAATCACACCGCCGTTCACACCGTGAGGTAGGCAACAGTAGTAGGGGACAGACTCACACGTCCCCTACAGCGTCCCCACAGTTTTATGACAATCGGGAGGATATCGCCACACCCATGTCTGCGCCATACTCATCACAGGAAGGACCATCATCCAGCCAACAGACTCCTCCCCATACTTCTGCCCCAGATCCTTTCACAACGGTATCTCAGTACTATCGTCGTAGGAGACCGCGAGTTGATAGACAACAATTACATAGAATAGATGAATCATGATCTTAGAACTTCTTTTGTTAGTCTATTGTAATCGGATTCTCTAGTATATTGTATCCACACAAATATTATCAATTTTACTGACCTTTTTAATTGATTTTCTGTCCATTATCAACTTCACCATACGCATTCATTCTTTTCATTGTACTAGTTGTTGCTGTTGTTGTTGTTGCTGATGTTGTTATTGTTATGGTTGTTGTTGTTATTGTTGTGGTTGCTGTTGCTGTTGTTGTGGTTGTTGCTGTTGTTGTGGTTGTCGCTGTTGTTGCTATTGTTGTGGTTGTTGTTGCTGCTGCTGTTGTTGTTACTGTTGTTGCTGTGTTTGTGTGTAGGCCAGGCTGAGTGTTGCAGATAAAAACGTCAACCAGGCTGGCGCTTTATGGCTGAGATTAAAACGCCAACCATGGTGGCGTTTTTACCTTGGCTAATTTTTTTTAGAAATTTCAGTCAAGGTAAAAACGCCACCCTGGATGGCATTTTTGCCTTGACTGAATATTAAAAAAAAAAATGCATAGGATAAAAACGTCAGTCTAGTTGACGTTTTACCCTGAAAGCTTAGTTTGGTAAATAATCTTGCCACACGTATACTTTGGGAAATTGTTTCCCTTAGGGACTTACTTTGGTAAATTTTCCCGTTAAAAAGACCACTTCTTTCCTCTTTACACTACTCCCTCACTCTCTCACTCTCTCTCCCTCGCCGGAAAATGGCGAAATCGAACGACCCAACATCACCTCCGCCGCCAACTCCGCCGCCGGCAATAGGCAAGATCGGACCATAGACCGTCTTTCTGACTCCTCCTCCGACCCCTAAACCCACTTCCGAAGCTCCTCCCGCCGTCATTTCACAACCCCACAAAAATATCGCCGTCAATTCTCCGCCGCCGGTTCAGCCGCCACCGGCCAAGTTCGAACCTGCCGGTGACCGCTTCGCTTTCTTCTGGGAAGCCATTGCTAAAGCTCAAAACGGTACCGTTTTAACCCATTTTCCCTTTTTCTGGATTCTTTACTTGCTCACTTTATTGTTACTTCTTTCGGGGTTTTTTTTTTAACTTACTTATTTTCTTTTTTTGGGAAAATTTAGTTCATGCGAGTGTAGATGAGTACGTGGCGAATTGGTTGGGATTGGATCAATCGAGATATCAATGGGCATTGAATGATTATTATGAATCTAAAGGAATGGTATGTTTTTTTTTTTCTTCTTTGATTTAATTTTTTGAGATTTTTATGCAATATCCTGATGTTTTATTTCAATGTTCATAGAAATTTTCATGCATGTGTTAGAAATTGTAGTGAAATCGCGGCGTTATTGTGTTTTGAAGGAAAATGAACTTGGTTGTAATCAATTGTCCCAGAATTGCCCATTTCTTAGCTTTACTTGTAGATTTAATCTTGTAGTATGAATGTATGATTTGTTGTGGGTTTAGAATGTGTCACACAGAAGTAAAGTGATTCCTCTTTGTGGATTTGAGTAAATTGGATATGTTTTCGATTGATAGTTGCTATTTCTTTGGGGGTGTTCTGGATCTTTGCCTGATTTATAGTCCTTAACTGGGTATTTTGTGTGGAATCAGAAATGGACTCGGGTATAGGTGTGATACAGACACATAAATAAAACAGTGAAATTTAAAAAGATTTTACTATATAGTATATGCAATGGTCTTTGTTCGAGTATGAATGAGGTGCACAATATCTTCTACAAGTGTCCATAGAGGAAAAATTGCGTGAGGTTCGTGGTGTGCCATGAAATGGCCATGTCCTGTCTCTTTGCCTATAGAAAATTGCCGTCTCATTAAAACTATGTCAAATATCAAAGGGCTGTTATGCATAAAGGCATTGCATTTAGTTGGATCTTTACAAGGTCTTCTTTGTTGCTGCTGATTGTGACAGGTTCTCTTTGTGACTTATTTGAGCTTTAGCAGGTTTTGCAGAGAAAGTATAGCTTCCAAGATAACCATTAGAAAGACTGGTGTTTGTACTTCATCCATTATAGGAAATTTGGAATTTGTATCTTGTACAGTTGTACGTAGTCTTTTTTTGGTTTACCTTGTTGAGAATTGATATTTATTTCAAGCCCGATAGCTTGGTATTGGTGTTATCTATATAGAGGTATATTATTTGTGCAAAGAATACACCTAGGGATTGTCATAATTTCACCCACCTTGAAACTAAGAAATGTTGACCTTAAAGGGAGTTAATATCCTGCGTGCACAAATCCATATACTCAAATCCCTGGTTCTTTAGTCAAAGCCTTTTTTTGTTAGGTATAGGTAGCCTTGGGAACTTCAAGTCCGTTCAAAGCTGAGAAGGTGACTAGTGACCAATGTCCATGAGACTTGATTCCTTGTGTAAAACATATCTTATATGATTGTGGAAGTAATTTACTTATTGTGTGTGTGTTTGTTGGGGGTAGGGAGGGGGGTATGGCACACCTGCACTTACATATTTACTCTATCAAGTAGTTGAAATGTTGAATAACAAATTGTTTCCAAGGGGACATTTCTTTCTAGACTGATGAGATTAAAATCATTGTTGAGGACTTCTACATTTTCCTCCTATACTGTTTCTGCTACTAAAGTATGATAAGGATATTATTGTCTTGGGAATAAGCTCTTTAATTCAATAAGTGTTGGTGGCTTCAATTGACCTGTAGAATGCAGGATAGATTAGTCTTAGGCTAACTTGATAATGAGGAACAGATGTTGGACTCAATTAATATAGTTTATCTCAATGCCCAACTTGACTTGCCTTTTTAGCTGTTAACAACTGCTTCAAGCCTTGAAGGGCTCGCTGTCATTATGTTAATAAAAAAAATGTGGCTTGGGGGTATGTTAACGAATTGGTTCACGACAGAAACGAGACTTCATAAATTTAGGGACTTGAGAATGGAACAAAGGGCAGGGAGACTCGTCCGTCTCCCAAAGAGAGATGCGGCGGTGGTGAAGAGACAATTATCTCACTTGCAAACATATCTGGGTGGGATCAAATATATGACAGGATTACCGGATATTGTAATTGTCGTCGATCAACACGAAGAATATACAACCCTTCGAGAATGTATTACTTTTGGAATTCCAACGATTTGTTTAATCGATACAAATTGTGACCCGGATCTCGCTGATATTCGGATTCCTGCAAACGATGGCGCTATAGCTTGAATGCGATTCATTCTTACCAAAAAAGGCTGAGCTTAGGTGCTAAATAAGTAAGATAAGAAGAGTAGCTTTCACCTACCTGGAGAGTTAACTGCCAAGAAGGAAGAACTCATTTTTTTCTTCTTCACCGCTAACTATTCGTTCAGAGTCGGCAAGAGTTGAAATAATCCCAGGAGAGTTTTCAAGTAGTCAAGGAAGAAAGACAGTCCGAAATCGCATCGGGTAAGGGCTCATGGGGTGGGCTCTAGATACATGATGTTATGTTTGAGGCCCAGTTAAGGCTCATTCTAGTCAATAATCCGGATGTTTTGCCACTTTTTATGTCATTGGTTTGCAGAGTTTTTATCATGAAAACAAATTTGGGAGGGAACGCACAGGCTGACTATGAGAAATTGTGGTATTTTTCTTGACTTTTGGTGTTGATTTTAACAGTATCTCATATCTAATTGGATGAGCATGAATCTTTCTAATTCCATTGTTAGCTTTGTTTAGTGAAGGTTTTTAAGACAAATTTCTGTATCCATTTGCTTTTTTATTCCGTTCATTTTGCCACTGTTTGTTTTCTTTTTCTTTAATTACCCTCAATATATTTCAAATGAGCTATAAAACATAGAATAGTTAAATACTTATATTTCAGTAAACAGTAATTTCTGTTATACTTCGTAGCATTTAGCAAACTAGCAGTTCTCAAATAGCATATAGCTCTCTGAATGTATCAAATGTCACATAGGCTGGGTCAATGTTATTTGAATTGTAGTACAACATATATAACTGATATTTACTTGGTGCTTGTGTACTTGTAATTTGTTATTGAAATAAATTTATTCTTGGATATATTTCTCTAATTAGTTTACTGGAAAAGAGTGAGCACATGCACACCTCATTTTACTCTATACCAAACACCACTTGTTAGTAGATTGACTACTTACATCTACCATGGGTTACATGTACTCTCTTTTTTCTAATCTATTCTTTATCAACACCCCATTGTATTTGACATGTCGTTTAAGATTTTTAGTTTTGGTTGCTGCAAATATTGATCAAGTGTTAGATACAAGAGAGAGAGAGAGAGAGAGAGAGAGAGAGAGAGAGAGAGAGAGAGAGAGAGAGAGAGAGACGTTTATGGATTATGTCCAAAGTTTAGAGTTACCTGTTTTTGAAATGCGTGCAATACTCTCTTAGTTGGGTACTGTGAGCAGTCCATGAACCATGAAACCCATAAGGTTACCTGGAGTAATTTGTAATATGAAGAGATCACCTAGCATAGTTAAATTACTTGAGGTTCAGTTGAGGAGATGGTGGTATGCAAATTTTGATGCTATTTGAGTTTTTAAAGGCATAACACGTTAAAATATTCTTGATGTGAATGAAATTGAAGAAAAACAGAGTTGTGCCACACTGATTTCCCAATTATTCGACCACCAGTCAACTTCAGTTAGTTATATAATTAGTTTGTGGGAAGTATAAATTGCATTATTATGTCATGAGATCATGAATCATAGTCATGAACTAAACTATATTGGCACCTTGTTTATGAATTGTTGTTACATTGGTTAGCATCTAACTAATATGAAGTAGTAATTAGTGATATTATTTGACTGAACTTCACACAGTCACATGCACTAAAATTTGGGATTTGCTTGTAGGATGAGGGAGATGTTCTGACGAAAGAAGTTTCAAGCAAGAGACCAACTGTTTAAACTTGTGATGTATTTCAGGTATAATATTTTGATTATAAAAACCCCTTATGTATTTCTTTGCTCTGGTTTGCGAATCCCTGAGTCCCTCACTTGTTTACGGTTCTTGCAGGAATCATATATAGAATGCGGGTTTGTACACCCTTTCAATTGTAATATATACTTGGTACAGATGGTATTGGTTGAATCTGACGGAGTCGTGTCTAAAATGAAGGTTTACGGCTTTATCCTGCATAATATCTCATGTAAATGCAGGGAGTGGTGATTCCTCAAGTGATAAATCTGCCTGTATCAGTCTTTGGTCACCATGTATTCTTTTTGTATCTTTTAGATTTGCTGTAATCATCATGTTCTCTCCAAGTTATTGCTTACATTCATATTATCATCTAAATATGTAACTGTTTCTTGGTTATTCGAATGCCCTACTGATGCTTTTACATACTGGTATTTAAAGCTCTTTCAATAATCTACTTATGCTTGGATGGAAATCAGCGTGTACCACTAACTTCTATTGGATGTCACAAATTGTAAGAAATCTTATAAAACGGCCTATTTTCTGACCACACAAAAATGTCCTATTTCTACTTCCAATACAATAAGTGTAAATTGTTGGGAAAGAAAGCATACTGTTGACCTAGTGGAAATTAGTTGGGTGCTTACAAGGAAAGATGAGCATGACTTATAATCTCTTTTGGAGTTATCCACGTCATAAAGGACTTGTTAATCAAGGATCGAAACTGACTTAGTTGACACTTAGGTCACTTAGGTTGTGCATATTATTTCTGAGAAAAGCTATTCTTGAACAATGTCAAAATCTGCTAAGGTTACAAGTGCTTTACCCAATCAATTGGGACTAATCTAGCAGTTAAGTGAGCCACAATATTCCCGGAAGGTTCAAAGCCATCTCCCACAAAGCAAATACCTTCAATGATCAGATCAAGAGGTGCTCTAAATTTCTTCGAATTGTATCACATATTCGCACTTCAACTTGCTTGTAGCCAAGGCTCCTTGCTACTGTGACACCAAGTCTAGCAGCAAGATCTTCCACCATATCATCAGAGCCCCCTTTCTCTCTTCGCATCGCCACCACTAGCACCCTTCCCGCATCATCCCTTATAATCTTTTATGTACTTATTCCTCCTAACCCTAAAAATATTCAATAAACTTTTATGGATGTTTATGGTGATAAATAAACATCTGATGAGCAATGTGAATCTTAGTCTCACATCTCTTGCAACACCATACCAGATTACCAAGGTCATACAAATGAATTTCCTGGTAAGAGTAAGAAGCTGATCTTTGGCCGTTGCGACCACAAACAAGTGGAATACCATATAGGTGGGGAATGGGATTATGTAGGACAGACACTCTATTTTAAGGTTTTATAATGAGAAACATTAACCAGAGGCATTTTTTACCATATTGGAATGAACAAAATTTCTTCCATGCTCTATCTCAATAATTTCTGTTTCCTTTTGCTGTTTTTTCATCTCAAAATCTAAAAGTCTAACAGCCCTTAAAGTGTATGAAGTACATACAAGATGAGGAACTTTCCAAAGAAATGAACACTTCACACAACCATCATAAATGGAGACATACACCTGAAGAATGGTGATACATCATTTGCAAAATACAGGAACATCCAGACAGGCATCTGATGGCAATAGCATACCTTGCTCTACTTTACACTTTACAACATTATGTAGAAGGCTTTCCGATATTCAGATATTGGCTGGCAAAACAAGCGCACAAATTATTAACCTGAAGATTTACTGACCTCATTGAAAACTAAATCCTTCTCCTCTTTATAGAAGTTTCACATACTTCCACTTTACTTGAATTAGCTTTCTCCAGGACTCTACCATGTATATTTTCTTCAGTGCAAATTTTCAAACTTTCAATAGGCTCCCTGCAGTGAAAAGTCTGAGTATCTTTCTTCATTCTGATCTCTTCCAACTTCTTCAAAGCAGCAAGACGACAAGCCTTTTCAAGCTCACCCTTCGCTTCATTATCAGTGCCCTTACAGCTGGTATGCACCAAACTAGTTGCCACCATTCCAGGTGCAGTAGCTTCCTCATCACTTCTATAAACCTGTAACATACGTTCTCTTTCAGGTGCCGAATCCCTGTTACTTGAATCATGGAGCTTGTCTCCGTCACTAGATCTACATAAAATCCCTCCTTGAACATCAGGATTCATGAAATCAGATCTTGCAGTTTCATTACAAGTACCGCAGTAACTTATGGACCTATCAATAGAAACAAAATTCTCAGCATCAACTTCAACTAAGCCCCTGTATGCATTAGAATCAACTTCTGACATGCCCGGCTCCTTGACATGGTGTTGGGCACTTCTGTGTCCACAATGCCTATCTTCTTCATCAATCCTCTCTCTATTTCTCTTCGTATCTGCAAGATCTGACTCTTTCTTGAACTTGGACCTAGACCTTGTTCTTCGACTCTTGTGGGATCTTTTCTCATACCTGCCAAGCTTATTTCCATCTGATGATTCTACATCATATATCATGGGTCTTGATTGTAGTCTACTATGTCTATGGTGTCTGTCATCATCCCCATCACTCTCTGTGTCTGTAGAGCCTGATTGTTTCTGTAGCCTTGAGCTTTTTCTTACATCCTTTCGAGCACGTGTCTCATCCTTAAACCTCGAACTTTTTTCTTCTTTTCTTTTGTTGCCTCTTTTCAACCTTTACAAGCCTACTATCATCAGAACATTGAGAAGCACTGCTGGATGATTCTGCTTCATCTTTCATCATCCTTGATTTTTCCTTACTACGACTGTGGTGTTCATCTTCCTCATTGTCCTGACTGTCACCATGAGAGTTATAATTTAAGGAGGCTGCCTCAATTTTCTTTGCAGTGACACGTTTATCTTTATATCTATGAAATTCATCATAATTCTTTTCTCCATAAGGACTCTTTCCCACATCAGATTTGTCAACTTTATTGTGGCGACATTCACGAGCTGACTCTGCAACTCCGTTCTGCCTACTTGAGCTTCTACTCTTGTGTTCATGGTATCTGTCACTTACTCCTCCCTCTGCAATCTCACCTTTGGAAGAATTAACATCAACTTTTCTACTTTTGTTGTCTTGGTCTGTAAACAATCTCTCTCTTTCCCTCTTTTTTGAGCTTCTCTTTGTGCCAGCAACATATCCCTGACCATCAGTGCTCCCCTCTGATACATCGAAACGAGAATCTTGACATGTTCTTCTTTCTTCTTGCATCTCCCTGTCAAGATTGCTGGTCTCTCTGTCATCTCCTCTGCGCGGACTGTACCTTCCACGCCTTCTTTTGTAACCATCATCTTCATTAGAACAGCTTTTCCTATGAGGGCTGTCTAAACCCCTAGACCTTGATCTCCTTGAATGGTACCTGACACAAAAGACCAAACATAAATAACTTGCACTATTAAGCAGAGTGTGGGTACATAAAGCATTTAAGTAGGTAAATAATTAAAATAAAAAGGATTGCTCATTGATGGTAAAACACAAACATTTTTATAGCTTCAACTTTTCTATTCTTGTCTTGGTCTGCGGACACTCGTTCCCTTTTCCTCTTTTTCGATCTTCTCTTTATGCCAACAGATCTATGACCATCAGTGATCCCCTCTGATACATCAACATTATCAATTTCACTGTGCTTAAAGCAACGATAATCTAGATAGGTTCTTCTTTCTTTTTGCATCTCCTTGTCAAGATTGCTGGTCTCTCTGCCATCTCCTCTGTGCGGACTGTGCCTTCCGCGCCTACTCTTATAACCATCATCCTCATCAGATAAACTTTTCCTATGAGGGCTGTCTAAACCCCTGGACCTTGATCTCCTTGAATGGTACCTGATACAAAAGACGAAACATAAATAACATGCACTATTGAGCAAAGTGTGGGTACATAAAGGTGATAAAGCGTTATAACAGTAGGTGAATGAAACTTGTTATTAAAAAGGACTCCTCATTGATGGTAGAACGCAAACATTTACATACATGTGAAGGCTGAAGGGGATTTTTAAAAATAACAATAAATCAAAGAACAAGATTCAGCCAAAACAAAATAATACACTCGTATAAGTCAAAAGAGCAGCAAAGGTAGAATCTAAAAATTGCCCACAAGTCAATGGCTGTCAAAGGCCTGTTTGGGGTTGGGGGGAGGGAAGGAGGGGGGGGGGTGTTGGTAATAAGCCACCTCAGACAATAGGGGCTTTTATTCCTCATATAATAGATGTCAATTCCTTTGATGTAAGAAAAATTCATGCATTCTTCTTTCATGTTTCACAACCGTGACACACTCAACTGTAGATTGCTTAGGGACAATCCAGGGAAGTCAAGATTATAGTATTACTCAAACTATTTCATACTACTGCAGACGCTATGGGCACTGTTACAGTCCAGAGGTATTATCTTAGTTTAGTGAAGTTATTAAAAGGCTGTTTATAAAAATGAAAATGAGTAAAGTATGTGTACAAAATATATATATACAGAAAGCTCAATTGCTAGCAAATGGATGCCAACACAAAACTATGGTTTTTTAACCTAAAAACAGCATCACTACTTTTTTTATTTTTTTGACATGAAATGGTTGTCACTATGTTTGTCAATCCTGCATAGACAAGAAAAGTTTAGGAAATAATAGAGCCGGGATAACCGTCTCAGCAACATCTATCAAGTAGGCTACTCTGTCATGATCTATATTTGTTGATCACCGCATCTGTAAAAGTCATTTCCAATTAAATAAACCCACTAATACATTTTCTGCTATATTTAGGCTCAATCATAATACTTTACTCACTATTTCACAGAGCAATTTACCAGTTTACCTCATACATTTTATATGTTACATGGTAACTTTATAAAAATTAAATAAACCCTTACATTTTCTACACAGGAAGCAATAAACTTTATTTAAGCAAAACAGTTGCTCACTTTTCAGAGAGAGAGCAATAAGCTATAATTAAGGCAATATGTACTTGAAAGCAAACATTGAAGATATGCAAAATGGAAATATATAGGCATTAGGCACATATTATCTTCATAAACTTATCACATACCTCAGACCAACTTCATCTGTGAAATCGTCACCAGTGTATCCAAATAAAGCAGTCATCTTCTTAAGCCAGTACCTCGGGGCTGGTTTATCCCAGTCAGCCCATTCATAATCTCCACCAGGATTTTGGAAGCAATGGATAAAATTGCAAGCTGATCCCCGAGAACAACTCTGTTATAGAAATACAAACATATAAATATAAAGATCACTGTTCATTATATTACTTGTCATGCACTCTAAAAAGCATTAAAGGCGAAAGTAAATGGTGATCAAACCTGGGAAAATTCAATCCCAAGTTTGTGACCAACCTTGAACCTTGACTTCATATACTCCCCACAAATAACAACCCTCCATCTCGTCACATTAATAAATTCACAGGTCAGCTGTCAAAAACAATTTGCAATTAGTACATAAATCTTCATTTACACATGCATCTACTGCAGATATCAAACTAATTATTTTGGAATTTGCCCGAAAAGTTACCCAATTTCATGCATAGTAAATGTTTTACAAGCAATTTTCTCATCCTATTTTCAAGCTAATTCTAGAACATCACGTGAGACTTATAATGCAACTAGGAAATTCACTTTTCTGTCCTCTAATAATGAAATTGAATAAGGAACCTATCCATTGCAAGCCGATTCCACATGATATAGTTCTCAGAATGAAATGTATCCAACGCCTTATCATTCTAAGAATTATATCATGTGAAATGCGCACACACACGCGCGCGCGCGCACGCGCACACACACTCAAAGGTTAGCAACATGACACCACCTTACCAGTTTCCCAGCAAAATATCGACCATTGGTAGACTGGTATGCAAGCATAGCTGATTCCAATGACTTATAATGCACATATAAATTACCCCGCAAATGGGAAGAACCATTTTTGCACACCTGTGAAAAGCAATCAAGTCAGGCTTACAAAAGTTCCTCAACAATACATCATGGGGAAGTAGAAGTGATACTACATAACTAGATATTCAATAGAACAACTGATACTAAAGCGCCAGGAAACTGTTTACAGAGTACACAGCTAGTCTGAAGTTAGCTGACAATTAATTACTCTGTATGACATAAGCAAGTAGAAGTGACATGCTTCATTGGCAATGCCAAAAGTCAATAAGTCCTCCAACCCCTTAACAACAGGGGAAAATAGAGTGGGGAAGCATGACAAACACAATAAAATTTAGGCGCTCTCTTTTGTGAACAAAGGATTGTCATAAGTAACTGCGCCCAATTATGAATTGTGATTAAGGAGAGGTCAATAGAAGAAAACTGAGCACATCCATAAGCACTAAAATCACCTTGAAGTTCACAAGTTCTCCAAACTTAAAAAATTCTGTATGAACGTCCTCATAAAAGTCTTCAAAACTCTGCTTTACCTCCTCATCCGTATGCTAACAAAGAAAGCAAAGCATTCAGCAATCACTTCTTCAAGTAAATGCGAGCAAGTAGATATGATATTAAAAATAAAAATTTTAAGGAAAAATTTACTAGTAAAAAAAAAGATAAAGAAAATTGAGTGATTTACTTTGATTATCATTCATTAGTCAAACATAACAGAATACAAAAGGGATCAAATAAAAGGCCACAGAAAAGGGAGAGCAATTTCACTTCCCCTTAGAACAAAAGAACATGATACAAACAACAATAGAAAATATGAAAAGTGAACGAGGACAAAGAGTATTTCTATGATTTGTTTCATTATCATAACAATTTAATCTAGTCTGAAAGTTAAGCTGCATAGGCAGAAACAGACTTTTGCCAGTATGAGCTTTCCCTTTACCACTTCATCTTAAGCACATTCTTAAATAATACTTCCTACCCCTTCATCTCAAGCACATTGTTAAATTGTACTTCCTCCGTTGCAAATTAGTTGACACGTATTTCTTTTTGACCCATTTCTATCTTGGGTAAGTTTTATATTTTAAAATATCAAATTTACCCCTCACTAATTTCACGAACTCCTCTTCTCTCTCCTATCATCACTATGATCACTCCTCAGTGATCACAGCATCAATCTTCATCATCTTTCCCTCTCCACCTCTACCGCCATCACCACTACCATCAAATCTCTGACAATGACCACCACTCCAACAGATCCCCTGTGATTCAGTCAACCCCATTCACCCTTTCTTTCTTTCCCTCTCCTTCAAAAACAAGCAGCATTTTTAATGGCTAAAATCTCGAAAGATGCGAAGGCTCAAAGCAAAATTGTTTGACGGAGTTTATCAACTTCATCACCGACAAAACCTCCCACGAGTGTTATTGTGTGAGTCTCTGCCCTAACTCAATCCATTTTTGACACCCTAACTCAATTAGCCGCTCTCTTTCTCCAATCTCTCTCTCCTTTCGCTTCTATGGAGATTTTTCAAAAGGGGGTCTAGAAATCTCAACCACACAAGATGACGATAAGGGAGTGGCTGGGCAGTGATAGGTTCGGGTTGTGACTTGTGAGGTTGACGATAATGACATTAAGATGGCAATAGTTGGGTTGTGACTCTTGTGATAGAAAAGGAAAAGAGATAAGTTTTATGGTGAAGAAGAAGATGATGACAAGGATGGGGTTGGGATGGCAGAGAGTAGACGGAGATTTGGGTGGTGGCGTGGTTCTGTTAACTTGCCAAGCTGATTGGCCAAGCCGCCAAGGTGAAGGGTTGGTTGGTAAGGTTAGGGTAAACCGATAAAGGTACCTATACATGTATGCCAAAAAGAAAGGTGTCAACTAATTTCAAACAAAGGAAGTATAGTATACCACAAATGATGTTCCTATCCACAATACGAAACTAGTTAAACTCATGATTTCTTAGAAAGATGGTTTTTTTTAAAGAGGCACAAAGGCATAACTTAACTTTCTCTCCTTTCTTTGTACTATAAGTTATCCAAAACATGCATCTGGGTTAATGTTGGGATATGCTGTTTCTCCTAATTGTAAAGAATGACATTAAAATCAAATGAATGACAGAGTATTAATTGTTGCTTGTGCTGCCTAGTGTCCGCTTCCTGTTAAGTTAAAAAGTATCAATACTCTCTTTCTAGCTTGTCACAATCTGCTCTCTTCAATTTTTCCGTTCTTTTTTTTTTGGGGGGGGGGGGGGGGGGGGTTTGGGGGGGGCAAGAGAAAGGAAAAGGAGATTCTAGATACATATGGCAATAGACCAGTAACATAATAGTGATTTTACAATATATATTACATTATACACTAAAATACCATTTACTACAACTTTGTTAATTACAAAAATAAGAAATAAAAAAGGATAGGGACTGAATATGAACAAGGATGCAAATCTAAAACTGCCAAAAAAAAAATAATAAAAAAAAAAAATTCTACCAAGTCATGCAAAAGTAACATGTCTCCCGAAAGATCAGTGCAGAGCTAAAGAACAGGCCAAAGGCAGAAGATTTCCAAGTCATTATAAAAAGCATGTGTTACCCATAAATGCATATTGGACATTGTTGCCTATTAATAAGTTGTCTTAGTTTATTTTTCTTCGTAATAGGGGGTTAAGGTTCAAACCTTCAACTTCCTAAAATACATTTTAAAGTTCCACCATTGCAGCATGTCAATTGAAAGCAATGAAAAGAAAACCCATCATGATATAATGGGATGTAGCTTCAGTTGTCCATCTTCAGCGCCTACAAAATTCCCCAGTAGACTATTGGCTGTTAAGGAAAGTACCACTCATTTGAGCAGGACTCTGATGACATCAAAATAAGGATAGCATTCAATTGCTTAATGCAGTTATAAAGAAGCAGAAAATTAACCCTAACATTCCATGAATAATGTTTCAGTGACCAAAAAAAATTGAAAGCAGGATATAAACTTCCATTTTAACAATATCCACCTCACACATTTATTGTGAGCTTGATTGGAGATATCTAGTCAGCAGAAAAAGGTTCAGCAAGAGTTCATATTGAGCAAGTATGCAGACTCAACCACATAAAACTGGCATCTAAAAACATGCAAAAGAATAAATATAAGGGGGGTGGGTTGAAATCAAGATAAGATGGCATTCAGGATACAAGAACCACCCAATGGCTTCAATAACAGACCTCAAGCCCTTCATCCTGCTTCCAAGCAAGACCAGGACCATTGTACATATTCTTAATCAGTATTGTACAAGCTTTATCTGGGTAGAAGTGAACTCTGCTACACCGTGCTCCAAAGCGACAAACCCCAGTTTTTAGATGGAAAGGGCAATGTGCTTTATCCTGCCATAAAGAAGTATCAAAAGGAGATCAGGTGAGGGAAAGTGCAACATGTTTCTCCTTTCACATGGTGGAGATTTGAGAACATCATGCCTAAAAATAGAAAAAATAGAGATGATGTGTAACAGAACAAGTATAAACACAAACCTGCTCAGTTCCAAAGTTAGGAAATTGTTGTGCAACACTTTCTAGAACCTCTTTCGCACTCCTATAATCTTCAAAGGCTTCAGACTGGGGAGCAAGAGGGTTTGATATTGGTCTTTCACTTTCCTGAAAAGTACTTTACACTTTAGGATTGATACTATTTGTCAAACCCAAAAGAACCAACTTATTTTCCATATCAATTACCTGATTTTCTTTTAGAATCTCAGAAGCTTTCTTGGGCACCCTGATTTTTTTCTTTTTAACAATTATCTCGTTTCCTATCCATATTATTTCTGCTGGTCCTTCTTCTATATATTCCCAATCATCATCTTCATTCGCCTCACTAGCATTCTCATTATTAGCCTAGCAACAAACATTCCATAAAACATACATTTAGCAAAACTGCAAAAGAACATGAATTGTCTAGCACCTAAGATAATATTACAAATTATATGTAACGATATAGAAGAGAACGATTACACACAAGATGAAAATCAGTTGGTGATTTGGTATACAAATGATAACAAATATAATCAATCACAATTAAATTGCTGAGAACATGGAAAATGTTTTAGCACACCACTTAAACCCTCAAATTGTATATTGAAGAAATTTAGCTAATGCCATAAATGCGTTACTTTCATCAATTATCACGGTAATCAAAACCGCGTTGATTAACCATCACTCAAGTACTAGCAAAAGGATCAAAGCCACCACCAACGATACTGCTCACTTCAATAACAGAACTAAGATCATTATGTCATCAAACTACAATCATAATATTAGTCATACCGGCAATTCCTATCCGCTCAACCTTAAATTCAAAGCAACTAAATCAATCAAACATAAACAAAATTCAAAGAATACAAACCAGCTCTTTCTTCGATTCCTCATCGAGTTTACACCGCTCCTCTTCTTCCTCCTCCTGCTTCTTCTTCTCCTTCTCCAATGCTCGATGAAACTGCCTCTCTCTCTCCTTAAACTCCATGCGCTCCCTCGCCATGCTCTCCGCCTCCTCTTGCTCCAACCGCAGTAATCTCATCTGCTCTTCAGGATCATTCCATCGAGCTTCCTCCTCTTCTCTCTCCTTCTTCGCAATCTCCTTCCTCACTAGCTTCCTCTTCATCTTCTTCAATGCCTTCCTCTTCTCCTTCCGACTCATCGTCGCCATTGTTATACTGTTATCGTTGCCATTGCCGTTGTCTTTGATGGTATTTTTATCGATTTCTCTCTCCTCGACCTCCTGCCGATTGTCTTCCTTTACTGCCATCATCTGAAGAGGAAATTGTTTCAGTGAATCGATCAAATTGTTCGTATCATTCCGCTGGAAATTGATTGAATATTACACTGTTTGGATTAATTGCCAATCCCTAAATTTTGTAAATCAACAAATTCTCGGAAGAACCCTAAACTGAAGTAGCACCTTTAATTCTATTTTTGGAGCTGATGGCCTTAAGCCCTTAATTGATGGCCTATGCGCTGATGGCCTATGCGCTGATATGTATAGGCCATAACAACGTCATTTACCAAGCTTAAAAAATGCAAAAGTGGAGGCTGACTCACTAAATATCCGTTATTAATCTAAAATGTAACGGGGTTGGTTTTTTTAATATGAAAATGGATATTTTTCATAAAGTAACAGCAAAGCATTCTCTTTCCTCGTTTCCTCTTGTTCGCTCCTCCAATTCCTCCCTGTATTTACTGTACTCTGTTCCAAAGAAGAGACTACGACGATGGTGGTTGCCGGAGCTAGAAAAGAATTTTGGTGCGTGGTAATCGTGAGCAATTGCGTGAACTGTGTACCGGCAATCGTTGGTTCCTTTGATTGAAGGTATGGTCTCGAAACCGAATGTAACAACTTTGCTATGGACACATTTGTTGGTTATTAAGAAATGTAAGAAGCAATTGTAAACTGTTTGTTGTTATGAAGTTTTAGTGTTTGGAATTCAGGGTTTTCTGTTGAATTTAGCGATTTAGGGTTACCTATGTTGTTCATTTGTTTAATTGGGAAAAAAATGTTAGTGGGCGTGGTTCTGAAACCCTTAATAGGAATGAATTTGTTGCTATGATGTTGTAGTTTATGTGATTTACGGTTATCTAGGGAAAATAGCGAAGTAGGGTTTCCTTTGTTGTTCATTGTTATAATTGGGATTAATTTGAGGATGTGAAACCTGTAATTGGAATGAATTTGTTGATATGATGATTTATATTATGTAATGCTTTGTTAACCACTGAAATTTGCGACCCTTTGTTGTTTAATTTAATTTGAATCCATGTAAATGAGTGATTAATTGTGGGTTTTTTGTGGTGGAAGACGTGTTGAATTATGAATTTGTGATATTGTTACATTAAGAAATTTTGACTGTTGTGGTATGTATATGTGAATATAGTGGAGAAATTATATGTGAAGAGTTAAGGGTTTGTTGAAATGGTTTTATGTAGTTGGGAAATCCCATTTATCGAGCATTCATCTGAACTTGGCAGGAGGAAATAATGCCGAGGAAGAGCAAGGGATCAGGATTGGTGAGTTATTGTTTATTGAAATTAAAAGATTGTGTGTTTGCTTAGTGATGGTTGTGTGTTGTAGTTGATTTTTGGTGGCAAATATTTGTGTTTGTGTAGGCGCGAGCGAAAGCCGTGAATGAGGAGGCACCTTAAAAGAAAGTAGCTAGTAAAGGGAAGAAGAAACTGAAATTTGATCCAGTTTTTGAGGTAGAGTATTTAAAGGACTCTGATGAATCTGGTTTTGATGATGGTGATTATGATGAATCTAGTGGTGATGAATCTGGTTCTGATGATGCTAATTCCCCAGCTGGTGATTATGAGGTAGATGAGGATGCGGAGGACCACAGTGTAGGTAGTGAGGAAGAACTAGAACAGGACAAAGTGAGCTACCAGGAGCTCCTGATCAAGTTATTGCAGGAAAAGGTTGAGATAGGGAAGTGCAAGCGAGGTCATATTGAGAAAAGGACAAGAAAAAGGGGCAAGCTAAAGGTATGTCATGTTAGATGGAAATGATAAAAGCTTATTTGTTGTGTAATACTTGGATGGAGAAATGAAATGTGTAATGTCATGTGTAGGTTGAGAAGACGAAGGGAGAGGTGGTGAAGGAGAAAGGGGTTGTCGTTAAAACCCAATCAAGAAGTATGCAGAAGGTACTCTCTGAACATTATTTGATATCCATGACATGGAAATGTTTATTGGGATTTATGTGGTTGGGTCTTTGTTTAGGTAGTTGGGAAAATGAACTGAATTTCTAAAGATTAATTGTAAATTGTACTTGAGTTGTAAGTTAAGTATGAATATTGTGAGTCCTTAATTGGATGTGCAAGATTAAAATCCCTCATAGAATATTCACAAGTAATTTGAATGGGATTGTATAATTATATGGAAGGACAGTTGATGTAAGTTGTTGTAATTTAGTTGGAAATGTACAAAATTGAGGTAACCTAGAATGAAATTAGTTAGAATTGAAGAATTTGAGTAACCTAGAAGGAATTTAATCGGTTAGTGGTTTTATTTTGTGAGGCTTGGGCCGGTGTCATTTGATTGAAGTTTGTCTTGTTTGAATGTAAATGTTGTAGGCCCCAAATTTGCATGGTGTGAAGGCTTTTGCAACCGCAGTGAAGAAGTTTGATGACTCTAGGAAGAAGCTAGTCACAGAAATGGGTTTTGGAGGGTTGTTAACTATATCCCTAACTTTTGTACCCTAGAAATTTGTGTAGTGTTTGTTGACAAGGGTGATGGGTGATGGTTCGATAACCTTTGGAGATGATTGTGTGCTTCCTTTGAGTCCTGTTCAGGTCGAGTATGTACTTGGGATTCCCATGGGGTCGAAGGCATTGTCGTGTACGATTCTTGAGGATAAGTAGGAAGAGCATAGTAGAATTTTGGAAAAGTTTGGGAAAAATGATAGCATTTTCATTAGTAGCTGCTTTGGGGGCACTGATTCGAAAGGATGAGGAAGGTAATGTGTTGCCACTGTCGGATGACGAGAAGGATGATTTCAAGATAGCCTTTCTCATAGCAGCTCTGGGCTATTTACTGTGTGCTACGGCAAATACAAGATATCTTGGGGTGAATCTGGTTCCATCGTTATTGGTTTTACGATGAAGCTGATGAGTATGACTGGTGCACTTATGTATTTAACTGGATGATTGTAGCAACCAGGAGTTTCCAAAAGAAATTTGCTCGTGATAGATATGTTGCAGGTTCGGGGGGTTGTATCTTTTTTTGTTGGTGAGTAAAATTGGGTATTTGCCACCGTACACCAAAAGCTTTTTGAGTAATTTTATTAAATTGTGTAGTGTTATCGTTTGTAATGGTTAGTTGAACTAAATCATCCATCCTGTCCTTTTATTGTAGATTTTTTATCTAGATCACCTAAGTCGCGTCCCAATGAGGTGGGGTGTGAGACCGAGACTTGAGGCATGGTCCGAAGAAAAGATCAATGAGGCGGTTGGCGATGATAAAAAAGAATATGGGGATTTCGGAAAATTACCGGTTAGTATTAGTTTGACTTTCATTTGATTTGAATACTGCTGAAGCTATTGTGTTTAATTCTTTTGCAGTCTCTAGATATAGCATATGGGGAGGAGCATCCGTTGACTCCTCGGGAGGTTTCAAAGCAAAGGGTGGAAATAGTTGACGTGCAACAGACTATGCAGGAGGTAGACGTGGAAAATATTACGCGGCAGGTATAATGCAAGTCAATAATAGTTTTAGATGTAGCTTTGTATTTTATAAAATAAGTGATATGTCCTATGCCAATTGTTAATAGTTTGTATTTATTTTTTCTTGAAGGTGTTGGATAGAATTACTCCAAAGTTGATGTCTGTGATTGACTTGAAATTAGGTGACGTTATGAAATCAATGCATCAGTTGATGTCACAGTGTGTTGACGTAGCTAATGCCCACAGAGTGATTAGGGGGAAGCCAATGGAGAGGGAAGTTGTTGTGCATGAAGATCAGGCTTTGGGCAGTTGTTTGTTGGAGAAGGAACAACTGAAAGAAGGTGGGAAAGGACTTGGTAGGGAAGAAAATAGGCATGCTGATACAGTTTCAGGTGAAGATGACCTGGACCGTGTGGTTCAAAATATTTTGGTTGATCCACTGTTTGCAGAGGCTGGGGGTGATGTCAAGGTGGTTGGGGATGAATCCAAGGTGAATGGGGTTGATGCAGGTGTTGTCTCAGAGTTCCATGGTTGTTGTTCTGATTCTGAAGCGGAAGATGAGAACATGGTGCCTGGACCTGAAATAGTTGTGGGCTTGGTTGGGACGAGGGGAACTATTGTGTTGGTTGATGCTCGGTGTAGTTTGGCAAATTCATCTTCATCTAATGAGGAAGATGAGTCCACTGGGAAGGGGGGCAGAACTGCGGATAAGAGGGTGGTGAAACCTACAGAGGCAGCCTTGTCAGCCATGTTTACCAATGTCCAAAGAACGTATGTTCAACTTTTATGTTGATTGTCCTCCTCCAATGTGCAGCTCTTATTGTGGTGTTCTTGCTGGCATGTGTTAAGTTCTTTGCCAGAAGATTCACCACGAGGTTTAATGTGGTAAGTGGTGTATATAGTTGTGTTTTGTGTTAAGATCTCTGAAGTGGTTGGCTACAGTGTTTGTTCATACATTTACAGGGGAAGATTCCTAATGCTCGGGCAAATTTGTTCTTGGACGACGTGCAGTGTGAAATGAACGAATTGAGAGATGGTCTGGGGGATTTGATTCCAGGTTCTAGGAAAACAACACGAAAACTGTGATGTGTTATGTTAGTAGCCTAGGCGATGGTGTAATTATTTTCTGGGGTTGAACTGTCGTAGCTCTAAGTATTGTGTATTGAACATTTAAACACTTGCTAGCAAACGCACTCCTCCCTGAGGTGGTCTGTCCACTCAGGAGTAACTATTAGAGGTTGCTTTGGCTGTGGAGGTGGTCTGTCCACTCATGGCTAAGTGTTTAATGTGATGACTGCATTAGGTTTTGTTACATTTTGCAGATTATGCAGCAACTGTACCTTAATTACTTTTTGCAACCTACATGAACAGGGTAATTTAAACTCAATGTACAGTGCCATAGGTACCTTGCAAGTGCCACTGGTAGAATGTAAATGATATTCTTACAATATAGTTCGCAATGGTATAGTACAAGTGCCATTTGTGTTTGCAATGGTACATTAAAATGGTGTTGTTTGTACCATTGCTCCATCAGTGTATTCATGAATTAGGATAGAAGTGCAATCAAGTAAAATAACAGCAACAAAATTGAACATTACAATCTATAATTCATAGAATAATGCTAAGGAACGCAAACAAAACATGGAACGTAATCCAACCATTGTTTACAGTTCACCGTTCATTGAGATGCCAAGTTTTGGACTGGTTGCCCCTTATGAAAGGGTCAGTATTCTCCCAACACTGGTTTTCTGGTGGTACAATTAAAAGTACCAAACGTACCACTTTGATTGCAGTTGTGCATATTGACTTCATGTACACAA